AATTAAATATCTTATTCCGTATTTTGTTAAGTAATCAATATTTAAGTAATAACCTGGTGTATAAACATATTATTCATAAGATTATTCTAACATTTTCATTCATATCGAACAAATTCAAATTTGAAATTTGCGCCGAAATGTACTACTTCATATACCCATAATTAAAAATAAAAATAACGTAGGAAAAGATATATTAATATGAAAGTTTTGTTCATTTTGCGTACTTGTACATATTCAAATGTACTTTGCGTCAATATACTTGTACACATTTAAATTTTTATACTCATAATTAAGTGTATAAATAACATCTGAAATGATAAATAATATTATAAACACTATATCTTATTATGTAGTTTGTTATATAATCAAACTACAAATAATATCATTTTATATCATCAAACATATCATTTTTGAGTTTATTTCAACCTTTTCATTTCTATTATACAAAATCAAATTTGAAATTCGCGCCGAAATGTACTAGTTCATATACCCATAATTAAAAATAAAAATAACGTAGGAAAAGATATGTTAATATGAAAGTTATGTTTACTTTTACAATAAATCTATAAACATATCATTTTTGAGTTTATTTTAACATTTTCATTTGTATCAAACAAAATCAAATTTGAAATTCGCGCCGACATGTACTTGTTCATAAAAAATAAAAATAACGTAGGAAAACTTATGTTAATGTGAAAGTTATGTTTACTCTTACAATAAACAATAATATTTTATCAAAAAACAATTAAATAATTAGTATTTAATAATAATAACCTGTCTATAAACATATCATTTTTGAGTTTATTTTAACATTTTCATTCATATCAAACAAATTCAAATTTGAAATTCGCGCCGAAATGTACTAGTTCATAAAAAAATAAAAATAGTGCAGAGAAAGATATGTTAATATAAAAATTTCGTTTACTTTTACAATAAACAATATGATTTTATCAAAAAAACAATTAAATAAAGAGTATTTAATAATAATTTTATATTTAATTTTATTATTTTTCAAACCAAACAACATGTCCATCTACCAACAAGCGCTGCAACTTCAGGTGTCATTGACGAACTGTCAAGTCAAAATAAAATGTCAATAGTAACAGCATCATTTGAAATTAAAACAACTAAGCTTATTTAAAAATAACAAATATTAATAAACTAATAAAAAGTGGATTCTGATAAATATTTAACACAATAAAAACTAGTTTTATAAAAGTTTTTGCACGGGGGTTAAAAAAATGCCAAGAAAACGTTCCAACAAATCTGGAGATGACAGTAAGTAGATGGTTATAATATAGTAGATATTTATATATTTATTGTATTTCATCTATTAATAGTTTATATCATCTATTGTTTATTTCATCTATTTATCATTTATTATATATTTCATCTATCTATTATCTAGATGATACTGATGTATCAGCAGCCCGTGGTAGATTAATGGGTGCTCTGCAAGGAATTGCTAAAGGTAGTGATGAAGAGAGCGAGGAATCAGAATACGATGAAGCTTATGATAATGAGGATAAGTAAGTACTATGAAAAAAGTACAACAAATTTAGTATTGCCTTTTGTAATATATTTTTTTCTGCAGTTATGTAAATTATGCACAACAACGGAAGAAGCGGGAAGGTGCTACAGATTGCACACATACTTATATCATGAAATTGTACGATAGGAGTGTTGATCTTACAATGTACACTGAAGAGACTCCTTTGTACCCAATATGCAGAGCCTGGATGACTAACCAACCAAAATTGAAAGCAAAGACGTAATAAGAATAAGATTCTCTTTATATATATATATATATATATATATATATATATATATACATATATATAACAAATGTATTCTGAGTGGATATAAATATTAATTTGGAAATAAGAACAAACAACACTCTTTTTTGCACTATTTTATTAAATTTAATAAAATAGTGCAAAAAAGAGTGTTGTTTGTTCATATTTCGAAATTAATATATATATATATATATATATATATATATATATATGTATATATCTATATATTTATTACATTTTGTGTCCTTTACCAGGAGAATATCGCAAGTGGAAAAGCCCAAGCCTGTTGAACCAAAAATAATAAAGCGTGAAAAGTTCACATCATTGGATATGTCGGCCGAAGGTGAAATTAAAGATGTTTTAGCATTGCCGGCACCTGAAGGGGCTCTCATTAATAGGATTCCGCCCAAAATGGAGATTTATGCAAAGGAGAATATTGAAGAAATTAATCTTGATTATGTAAGAATAATAAATTATTATTTTTTGTAGAGTAGGTTGTAATAATTGCAAATAAATATAATGTATAATTAGTGGGGTCTACAGCATCGTGCCTTAAGGCAAATTGCTGGAACTTCCCATACTGTAACGAAATGATCGAGGAATATTAAATGTTTTCAAATAGATTATTATAAATATTGTAACATCGTCTAATATTTATAACAATTATATAAACTGAATTGCAAAGTTGAAATTATTTGTTTGAAGTATATTAGAACTTTAGTCAGAATTAAAAATAAAATCTGAATTATTTTCGATAAGCAAAAAATTATTATATATGAGCTTCAAAAATTTTTTTTCATATGCTCAGTTACAAAAAAAAACTGATCAAATTTCAATAATTTTTAGAATTTTTGCAAATAATAATTACATTTACATGTCTTCAACATGAATTTTATTATTACTTCAATCTATATAAAATTTCTATTTTTGTTTATATCTACATTATTAATTTTTTCCCAGGACTCAGATGAAGCCCCACCGAAAGAAGAGTTATTAAAAAATCATCTCAAACGTTGGCTGAAAGTTAGAAATCATTGGCAAGAACATGCAGCGGAGTATGAAAAACGATATAAATACAGTGCCCATATACTAAACACCATTTACAACAAGTAAATTGGATTAAAATAATTACAATTATATATATATATATATATATATATATATATATACTAGCTGACCCGGCAAACGTTTTGCCATCAAAAATATTTTGCCGCTTTTCCAGAAGTTCTTATAATATACATGATATATTAATAATAATGTTATATCTCATAACACAAATTTCTTTATATTTTGATAATTAATTCCAACGCATCACAGTGTTTTGTTTATTTTAGTTTTATTTATGTCAAATAGTAAAATACTTTTTTTAATCACTGTATGTATAAATTAGATTTTAGTCTGAATCAACGCAGTACCATTATCTAAACATATAATTTTTTATATAAATATCAGATTTTTTACTTTTGCATTTAATTTAAAAATATTGAATGTCAATTTCTTGAATTGAATATCCAATATGCACTAAATTTTTAAATGCCAAAATATTCCCTTCTTGGTTGAAATTTAATATAATATGATATATATATATATATATATATATATATATATATATATTTATAATTGTTTATTATATTTTTTTTTGTTGCAGGGCTCAAGAGACTATGGATATGTAATGAGAAGTAAATGACATTTTTATAATTTAGTTGATTTGATGTGAATTGTAATAAAAGAATTGTACATAATTTTAATAAATTGTAATATGAAAAATTAATCTATCTATATCTTTAAATATATATACTAGCTGACCCGGCAAACGTTGTTTTGCTAAGTAAGGTATATTCTAAACAATTTCTAGAGAATCAAAAATATTAATACTTTAAGTGTATAAGAATGTGTTGTTTCAATGCTGTGTACAGTGAGGTATTATAAAAACAATAAACCCCATTAGTTTGTCTATATTTTGTCAATACAATCAAACTGCAAGTTTTATACACTTTCTATAGAAAACATGGTATAATCCAATCTAAGTCTTTTTTGGTCTTTTGACTTATTGATTACGTTTCAAGTTTTTCAGATTCTTTTTGAATTCTGGATTTTGTGTATAATTGTAAATAATACTACTGAGCTTATACAAAATTTTCAAATTTTTGCGAGGAGAGATAAAAAATGAATTAAGTATTTCTTCTTTGACTTGCTTTTTGAAAAGTTTCAAGTAACATTTGATGAATTAAAGTAAATTTAATAAAAAGTATATATGTATAGCAGGGTGAGACACAAAGGACCATTTTGACTTTGAGCAAATATAAACTATATTGTGAAAACCAAACCAATTATATCACAACAAATAACATTTTTCAAACAAACAATTATCTGACTACATTCAGTAAAACTGCCAGCTACTTCATGATTGTAGAAATGTGCTTTTGTTTATTTAATGTTTCTTATTTTATATATTATTAAGTGTGTCTTACTTTATTTTTATTTATAAAAGTGCTTTTATATATAAGAATATATGTTTATCACAGTGTTAAATGCTGTTTTAGTATATAAATTAAATATTTTAAATTTGGGGTAAATATTGTTTATTTATATTGAGCTCATATTGGTCTTTTATTTGGAGTAAATATTGTTTATTTATTTAAATAATTCCAAAATTTTTTTAAAATTTCACAGCATTATTGAAAAATATAAAAATTCGAATTTTGGTTTGGGAGTTAAAAATTAATTAATTAATATTAATATTAATAAAAACCTTGAATATCCAAATGCCAATTCAATTTAAATAAAATTAGTTTCAGATTAATTTGGCCCTTGCAAAGACTTCTAATATGACCCAGGAACATTTATATGTGGCATGCTTTGTAGTGGGTAAACCATCAATATAACTTGTGTTAGCTGCCTCTTTCACTCATACACAACATACTTTTACATCCACAATCTGTAAGTTATTTTTTATTCTAAAAGAATTCTAGAAATATTTTTATGTATGACATATACATATGTCACAGATTTAAATAATTTGTTTTTATTTTTCTACACCTCATACAATTCCTAATTTTGAATTACTAATTTTGAATATTGTTTGAATCGAAACCATGTCTAGTTATAGGAAATTTTGGTTTAAACTGTCAAGGCAAAAATTCAAAAACAGTCAAAAATGATTCAAAATTATTCCCAGTGAAATTAAAACGTATTTTTATAAAAATGTGGTCTGAAGCAAGTAATGTATCATTTCAATCTCCTGCCGATTTATGTGATGTCATATCAGTTTTGGTACATTGTCCGGAGGATTCGACAGTTTTGTTGTCTTCTGAATTGGCGAATGAACTTTGGTTCCCTTCGGCCAAAGTCACTGAAGGGACTTGGAAAAATGCGGTTTATAAATTATTGAAAAATGTAAGAGATTAAATAATAATTGAAGTTCTAATCGAAATAAAGAAATGAGCTTGTATACTTGAACTACATTAGGGAAATATCATCAAAACTTACTTGTTCATATATTATCTCGTCAAAGATATTAACTTAGAGATGCTAAAGAACAAAACCGTTCCTTTCAGTTTTTTTAAATATAAATATGGTTTTATTTCTATTCATCATTACCGAAGGGACTTGGAAAAACGCGGTTTATAAATTGTTGAAAAATGTAAGAGGTGAAATAATAATTGAAGTTCTAATCGAAATAAAGAAATGAGCTTTTATACTTGAACTACATTAGGGAAATATCATCAAAACTTACTTATTCATATACTATCTCGTCAAAGATATTAACTTAGAGATACTAAAGAACAAAACCATCCCTTACAGTTTTTTTATAATAAATATGGTTTTATTTCTATTCATGACATTTCACATATACTAAATTTCCAACACAAGCGTAAATTAAATCCTCACTTACGCCAATATTAGATTTGATAATAACCCTCCTGTATCAGTAACTTATTTTATATGAAATTGCTGAAGTAGTAGAAATATAACAACCTAATGCAACCTAAATATATGGCAACCTAATGACAACCTAAATATATACATATTTGTAGCAATAAGTACTACTGAATGATCTATCTTTCCTATAAAAATATTTTCGACTTTAACTATGTTAAATATATATAGGAACTTAGACTACAGCACAATTATTTTTTTTTTTTTTATTAACTTCCCGTGGGGTAAATTATTGTAATGGGCCGAAAATCGGAATTGAAAATTTTTACATTTCTCGACGTTTTAAAGGTTTCTGAACGTTTTGGCATACCTCAGAAAAAATGGATGTGTGTGTGTGTGTATGTATGTATGGATACAAATTTCCAGTCACGTTTTCGGGCGCACGGATCAACCGATTTGAATGGTTCAAAAAACATTCGATTCCTATTGATAGGGAAAAGAGCTGATTAGTTTTTGGCAAAGGCAGGTCCAGCCGTTTCGGAGATACGGAGCAAAGAGTGCAGAAAATAGAAATCGACTTTTTGAGAGGACGGAGTATCCGATTTGAATGATCTAAAAAACATTCTATTTGTAATGATTGGGTGAAGTGGTTATTAGTTTTTGGCAAAGGCAGGCCCAGCCATTTCGAAGATAAGGAGCTAAATATGTAAAAAGTGGCAGTTTTTGAGAGAACTAAGCGTCCGATTTAAATGATTCAAAGAACTTTCTGCTTGTCTTAACAAAATAATTGATTTTGGAAAAAAAAATTTGTTTTAACTGTTTTTTTTTTAATTTTTTATATATCGAAAATAATTCAGATTTTATTTTTAATTCTGACTATAGTTCTAATATACTTTAAACAAATAATTTCAACTTTGCAATTCAGTTTATATAATTCTTATAAATATTAGACAATGTTACAATATTTATAATAATTTGAAAACATTCAGTATTCCTCGAACATTTTGTTACGGTACGGGAAGTTCCAGCAATTTGCCTTAAGGCACGATGACATAATTGCCTCAAGACAGAATTCCACTTGCAGCTAGTTTATATATATATATATATATATATATATATATATATATACATTATTACCATATCTCAGACAGACAGAAGTGCCTGGTATGAGAGATTATGAATTTTACATGTTTAATTTGTTTTTTATTATAATTATTTACGAGTCACGATGTAGTATGGTTTTGATTTTCATTAAAAAAAATTATTTTAAATTCATCATATAAGAATTTGAAATATCGTTTATTGATATCACATGACTAGACAAATTCGACCAAGCAGAACAACTCGTTTCGAATGATCACATCGATAGCCAATGACGAATCAGTATTTGTGGCGTAACGCATTTCCGTTGTACAAATCAATTTCCAGGTAGCAGGAGACAACTCCGAAAATCTAAGCCTAAATCCGATACGTTTTTACAAAATCTGGCTGCCGGATAAAACGAAAGGACACATTTTCCATTCGGTTTTCGATATCACCCTGTCGAGTGACCAGAAACGAAAATACAGATTTGGAACCGGTAAGGTGAGAAAAATTATCTTATTAGATTTATGATAATCTTAAACCCTTAGTGTACGAGTGTAAATAATAATAACCGGGAATAGCTCAGTCAGTAGCTTGCCCGACTCAGGGATTCTCGGTTCGAGTCCTGGCACTGACGTAGAATTCTCATTTAGGAGAAAAATAAGAATGAAGAAGTCAATTGTGAAAAAAAGAGTGCGTGTAAAGTTCTCACGCGATTGAAGTAAAACTTATTTGCTTTTGTACAAGATGTCATTTAAGTAAAAATAAATACATCATATAACAATTTTGAATAATGTTCATCAGTAATATGGTTACACCGAAATGAAGGAGTTGCTGATAAACAAATTCTATAATATTCGTTCACAATATCACGTTTTTGCAACTTCACTCATCATGTAATAATTGTGTTTGAAGAACTTCATGTAATTAAAATTAACATACATTCATTGACTGATTGTATTTTTTTACTTTTTTCCAGACGATATTCAATTCACGCGTCAGTAGAGTCCTTTTTTTATAACCTTGCTCGTCAGAAGTATCCGCATTTCAAGTAATTAAATATTAATAATCTTGCTGGACAGTATAGCCCCTTTCTCTAATTAATAATTTTGCTCGTTAGTAGAGTCCCTTTTTATCTTTTAGATCATTTTTGTACATTTCTATCAAGTTATTTGATCACTTGTCAGTAGAGACCCTTTTCTATTATATTGTTTATTTATTATTCATTTGTCAGTAGAGCCCCATTTTGCTTTTTTGTCAATTTTTAGTTTGCTCGACGGTAGAGTCTTTTTTTATATTTACGAATTTCAAATTTGGTCGCCAGTAAAGTCCAATTTCAAATATTTTAAATTAAAATTGAGTTTGCTCGTCAGTGAAATTCTTTTTAGAGACATTTTTTATTCATATTTTGCTCGTCAGTAGAGTCCCTTTCACAAAGCATTTTTCATTAATATTTTTGCTTATCAGTACAGTCCCTTTCAGTATCTAAATTGAATTTGCTTACCAGTAGAGTCCTTTTTCTTTTTCTAAGTTGAACTTAAACTTTGCTTTTTTAGTTTGCCTGTCAGTAGAGTCCTTTTTGTATTTTCTTATCGATTAAAATTTTGTTGGCTTGTCAGTAGAATCCCTTTCTAACTTTAAGATAAAATTTATATATTTAAACTATTATATTTTAACTATTCGATTTTTTATTTGCTCGTCAGTAAAGTCCTTTTTAATCTTTTAGATCAAAAACTAAAGTTTCCTCGTCAGTAGAGTCCTTTTTTATATGTTTTCTTTCTATATTTTTATATCTATACTAGTTAGTGAAGATCTTTTTCAGTTTTTATATTTACTAATTTTAAATTCAGTCATCAGTAGTCCTTTTTTATCAACTAGGTTGTAATTAAAGTTTGCTTGTCAGTAGAGTCCATTTTTATGTTCTGGATTAAAATTATGTTTGTTCGTCAGTAGAGTCCTTTTATTTTTTCTGCCGTTTGATAATTCTTTGAACAGCTTTAGAATCTGTCTTGTCTATAAAAACATTATCTACTTTAAGATAGAAATAATTTCTAATCAATAAACTTACGTTTAGTACAGGGCATAAATGTTTAATTTGTTTTATTATTTTCAAGGAACAGGGTAAAACATTCTTTTTATTCAGGCATTTTTCATTAAATCAAGATTTGTAATACGATGTAACTTTAAAATGTTTATTTATCTATGCCGATTTCCTTGTTGATATCGGTACGCATACAACGTTGATGCCGTTAAGCATACAACGGCAGATCTCTATTTACATATACGACAACTAATCACAATCGACCCGTATAGAAGTGATATCATCGAGAGCGTATGACGAACAGTTCGGGCGTAACTTACTTTCGTTGCATTTGTACGGATTTACACCCTAGTCGCGTCTAAAAAAGTTTCACTTCAAAAATTATAATTATTTTATTATTTAGTTTAAGGGTAAGCTTCGGTTCAGCCCTTACAACGAATTGGAACGTTTTATGGTGCAAGAAGTGTTGCGTTCCCCTGAAATTTTACGCCTGATAGCTATGGCAAAGGATCAACAGACGAGGGCCAGATTGAGGCCGCATCCTGATGGTTCAGAAATGTTACTAAATACGGTAATAAAAATTTAGAAAAAATGGATATATATATATATATATATATATATATATATATATATATATTGACATGTAACACATACTCCAAGCTGACAACATGTTCGTTTGGAATAAGCTTTTTTATAATAAAATATTATTTATTTTAATTTTACAATTATTTAAAATTTATCATAACTCGACGTTTTATCAATTGTTGTTTCATATTTTTTTCGTGCAATTTCGTGTGTTTTTGTGTTTTTTTTTTCAGATTTATTTGTATGCACTGAAGATGGATCAAATCAAGAACTGAAACGTATGTTTTCTGAATAAAAACATTTTCTTTCAATAAAACTGTTTTTAATTACTAGGTGGATGCCCAAGAACAATTTTATCATATTATTTCACCATATATATATGAATACATTGTTTTTTTATAATTTTAGGATTTGATCAATGAAACAAATATTTTGTTGGAATTAGGAGAACATCATTTGTATGTGAACAGTGGTCCACATTTGGAGCTGATAAAGTCGGCTGGCTATACACCTGCAGGTTAGGAAATATTTATATTTATATTTAATTAATATAATTTAATATGAGTTAAAAAGTCTTCAATAAAAATAGTGTGACAGTTTTTAGAAATTTATTTAAAATCCATACGTTTCGGCTCGCATCTTAGCCTTCATTCAGTGGCAATCAATTTAACTATAAAAATTAAAACTAAAGAAAATAATAATAATAATAAACACTTACAATTTTGTATCCTTATATAACATATGAAACCATTATTAATCCATGGTATGAGTATGTGCACATTGATAAAATATATATTTTTAACATCACAGATGGTAAAACACACAAATAAACATGATAACTTAACAAGTTGTCGAAACTATGTATTTACTGTTCGGAATTTAAGATAGAAATGTCACATTTTTTCTTGAAGCAGGTTTTAGCATGTGCTCAAATTTCACGGGAAATTCAAAAAGCGATGAGATCTTGTCATTTTTTAAGAAACTTTGACACGCTATTAAGGAACCACGTGTTTGTTTCGTTCAGAGCCGTATTGTCGAATCGTTTGTTTATTACCCCGTCGTTAATTGCAAAAACAACCCCTCAGTGAATCTTCTTTTAATTACGTTCTCTTCAAAATGTTAAATTTTAGGGTTGAAATAATCTATGTTATGATATAAATTATTAATATGATCGGTCAACATCGTCTTAAATTGTTTGGGATTTTTAGTTTTATTGATGTAACGCCCGACTTCTTAACTCAAATTAAATATATTATATCGACTTTTTAACTCAAATTAAATATATTATATCAACATCAAATTCAAGACTATTCAAAAATAAATATTTAAATATATTTCCATCCAATTTCAATACTAACGTAGTATATTCTGTCTTTTGCAACGACTGTTATTTCGAATACATTAGACAAACCTCACAATATGTACCCAAAAGAATGAGGCAACCCGAATTAAGTGTGGGTCACCAGAAACAAAAAAAAAATCAAATGTACCCTGGTTCAGCACTATGTCGAAAATGCCCACTTACCAATTTTTTACCATGAAAATTGCATCTTTAAGAGGTTATTTGCAAAACTTTGTCTTATACTTATGAACGCTTCTAATAGTATTATCATTAGATCAGATCACAACCTGTTACATGATTGTTATTTAAATTTTTTACAGTTTTTGACAAACAATTAATTTCGACATCCATTTAAAATCAATAATTTAAATATTTATATCTTGATATATAAAAACAACACGCACACACTTACAGAGATTTTAAGTCGAGTGTTTTCTTCTTAAAAATTCATCCGTTCAATAATCAGTTTGTTACCAAATGATCATCCCAGGGAATAATACTTATAAGTAATAATATATAACTGCAACGCATGCCACATACAAATTTAAGGCCTCTATTGAAATAGAGAAAATTAGTTCCTAAAATAAACTATTATTTTATTATTCTAGATCAGCAAATGATCTATACAGAATTCATATGCCAGTGTTTTCCCTGTTTGTACATGAACCAGGCGACGTTTACAAGATTTCTTACGGCTTGCGGATGGGACCGAACTATGGCCATGAGGATGTTCAGGTTAAAATTATTATTTAAAAAAAGCTCATTTTAAGCCACAGATAAAAAAACATAAATATACCTTTACCTCATTACTTCAATTTTAATTATTTCCCCTCTCCACAGAGGCGCCACCAACTGTAGCACGTAAACTTACCCCTAGGTTTAATTCTCCGATAATATTTATATAAATATATAAAGTAGAAAAGATAAAGCCGATAAATTGGAATAAAGAGTAAAATATTTTTTCACTAAAATATATAATAAAAAATATTATTTAGTAATGTTTTTTTATATTATTAGATCTGCAGATGTATTTATGAGAGGGACCCTTTCCTACAAGGACTTTTTGTTCGCCTTGGCCGCCACCGATCCCGGAACTCAACACGGTGGAGCTCCTGCCGAATTGAGATGTCGATATATATTTAGGTATTATAAATAAAAGAAAAACTCTTATCTTATTATAAAATTAATAATTCATTTAATGACAAAGAAAATCTAGTAAATATAAATCGAAAGCGAACTAAATTAAGAAGGCGGGATGATAATAATAACATACTCTGTAAAATTTTTAAAATACATCATTAAGTTTTGGATTGCAATTTTAAAGTACACAGAGTTGCTGTAAGGTTTTATGATACTAGACAATGTTGTAGATTATTTAATTTTAAAAAAGTTTGCCAAATATTTCATTCAGATTAACCGAATAATTCAGAAGTTACAAAAAATTTACTAAATGAATGCACGAATTTGCTATAAATAAGTTTATTGTTAAAGTCGCTTCGTCATGCTAGTAGAATTATACTTTGAATTGCAATTTTAAAGTACACAGAGTTGCTGTAAGGTGTTAGGGAATTAGACAATGTTGTAGATTATTTAATTTTAAACAAGTTTGCCAAATATTTCATTCATATTAATCGAATAGTTCAGAAGTTACAAGAAATTTACTAAATTAATGCACGAATCTGCTATAAATAAGCTCATCGTTAAAGTAGAATTATATTTTGGATTGCAATTTTAAAGTACACAGAGTTGCAGTAGGGTGTTAGGGTATTAGACAATATTGTAGATTATTTAATTTTCAAAAAAATTGCCAAATATTTCATTCAGATTAATCGAATAGTTCAAAAGTTACAAAAGTTTTAATAAAAAAATGCATGAATAATTTGCAAGACTATAAGTGCATCATTTCTGTATGAGCGTTTATAAATGTATATTCCTTTCTTGAAAGAGATTTTGAAGTATACCGAGTTGTTATAGAGTTTTAATATAAGACAATATTGTAGATTACTTATTTTTTTACAAACTTGTCTAAAACATCATTCATATTAATCGATTGGTTTAAAAGTTACAAAAGTTGCAATAAATAAATGCAAAAATTAATTCCATTTTTGAACGAGATTTTGAATAGGATAAACTAGTGCCGGAATTGATTCCAACCTCTGCCAGCTCGATAACAAACAGTATGATATCAAATTTTCACTTAAGGTTATAGATCTCAAATACAATCTAAAGTTAAAATCGCTTTTAGGGAGCATATACTATTATTTACACATATGGAATACAAAATTATGCACATGAAAAGGGGATTGACCGCTGGGTTGCCAACAAATTAGCTTATAGAACACATATATAATATAAATAATCTTCCTCTAAATTAAAAAAAAATCTTAACTTGATGATATAGAAAATAACTATGTACCTGTATTATTAAATGATTATAAAATGTATGCAAAATTATGCATTCAATTACTTTTTTCCTGTTACAATTTTCTCTCAAGTTAAGAGCGTAGTAATACGTCTATTAATAGGTTTTTGAAATAGTGTGAAAATTTGTCGTTTTCTATTTTCTTTTTTAGATTTTTCGACAAGAAAGGTTCCCAAACATTGGAAGCTGCAGATTTGCGAGAAATGGTGGAACATATGAGAAAAATTAAAAAATTTCCCGTGGATACTATAAGTGTTAACAGGGAATGGGAATGGCACGCCAAGTAATAATAATATATATTAAGGTGGTCCTTAATATGGACATTTTCGAATTTCCTTGCTCCCGAATGCTCAAATGGTTCTAAATTGATAAAGAACAATTCTCTGAAAGTTTTGGCTCTTAACATTAACTTTTAGATAGTGCGCAAATCAATCAAACTTCGCATGGAAATAGCATGGAAAAAATTTTGAAAATTAAAAAAAATTTTTTTAGGTATATCTTACCGACAAATGAATTCAAAGTGAAAATTCGTGTCATTTTTTATTGAAAATTCGACGCTCTGCAAAATGTTTGATGATTTTCTCATGCTATTTCCATACGAAGTTTGATTGAACTGCGCACTATCTAAAAGTTAATGTTAAGAGCTAAAACTTTCAGATTTGTTTTTTATCAATTTGGAACCATTTAAACGCTTGGGAGCAAGGAAATTCGAAAATGCCTATATTATGGACTACCCTAATGTATATATATATTTACCTCATTTTTTATTTCAGGAATATGGGAGTAACTAAAGACGTTTCCCTAAATTTACCGCAATTTTTACAAGCCGTTGGCGAACTCAAATTTAGAGGGACTTCTGTGCTTCTACGATGTCCTAAGGGCTACATCGCTGCTTTGAAGGAAATAAACAAGTAATAATATAAATTATATATATATATATATATATATAATAAATATTATAATTGTTTCTTTAGGGAACGTGAAAATGCAGCTGCTGGTACTCTTTCTCAATTGATGTCTGCGCCTTCGAAAATGATAAAGCCAATTATGTCGCCAAGAAGTAAATAATATTATTATTATATATATATATATATATATGACGAAATAACTCCAGAACGCATGAACCGATTTCGACAATTTTGCATTCGTTGGAAAGGTCTCGGGCCCGCAAGGTTTATAGCTAAGAAAATTAGTTGTGCATGGCGTCGTGCCCCTAATGCAAATGCTGGAACTTCACGCACCGTAATTAAAAATTCGAGTAATGACATTAGTGAGAATTATCAGAATTATGCTTGGTTAAGTCAACGAGCCAATTCTTGCCGCAAAGATAGTATGTACACGCACTGAATTTCACCATTCAATCAAAAATTGCTGGCGATTTGGTGACATACCAATGATTCCGACTGGTTCTTCCGTTTGACTTCAAACGATGCAATTCCAGTTCGCATTGCGTTCGCAATAACAAGTCTCATGGCCAATCGCTTAGTGTTTGCGGGATAAATTTCAAATTAGATTATTTAGAAATCATTGTTTTTCACATGGGTAGTTATGCGTTGTCTGTTCACGAGTTGGAAAACCATCCGCTTTGTTTGTGTTAACGTCAGACCAAAAAACAAAAAATGTGGTTTACCAAAGAGCACTTCAATGAAACGGATAATTTGCGGATTCACTTTTATTTTACTTTGAGAAGTTCAACTAAAAAACACTTCATTTTTGTAATCGAAATAAATTCATTACTGTTGTGTAATAAAATCAAATTTTTCCTTTTCAAATATAAAACATACAAGAATTTTCTTCATCTTTCTCACGAAACCGTCTGGTGGCGAAAGGGAGTTCGTCGGTTTTGCTAGTATATATATATATATATATATATATATATATATATATCATATATTAAATTATTTTTTAGCCGAGCCTTCATCCTTATTTCGACGTTTATCATCGATAATCCCATATCCCTTTGGTGGGACAACTTTCGAAATAGCAGGACATTGTATGAAATTGAAAAAAGGAGGCACTTTGGTAGAATCCGAAAAACTAATGGATCTAACAGGTAGATGATTTATAAATAAATTTTTAAATAATTTTTTTTTAATATTTATTATTATTTGCAGTTTGTGTGACACCATCATCAATAATACCTTTGCAAAATGCAAAACCATCACTTTCTACAGAAGCTTTTAATCAGAAATCGCCTGCGAACGAACTTATTGCAGGTTTAAGGTAAAAATAGAAAATAAAATATAAACAATAATTTAAATATATATATATATATATATATATATATATATATATACTAGATGACCCGATAGATGATGTCCTGTACCCACATCTAAGTTTTTTAAATATTCTATACTAATATTTAACGTACAGTTGAAAATAATAATTATTGTTTTTCGAATTACTATTTACACCAATATATGAGTGATGTTAAATGTAGGAACTGCATCAAATAAAATGATGATTCTCAATTCCGACAGTTAACACTTTAATTATCCATTTAACAAATATTAAAATATGTCCAATAAAATTGTATATTAAAAATTATACATTGCAATTTAAAGAACAAATTTATTTCCAATAGCTCAATTTATTTTAATGCCAAGGGTTATACAATATTTTAGTCACGCCTGTAGATGTGGATGTATAAATGAATGATTTTTTGTTTATTCACGACTAAAACATTGATTTTCCAAATTTATCACACAAAAAATCATCGCTTGCCTTTGTGATTTACAGCATAATATATACGTATTGGAAATTGAAGTCTTTTAAAAGGTATAACAAATTCAAAAAGAATTAATATATAGCATTCGCGGTAAAGGTACAATATCATCTTGGATTTTCCTACCCAAAATAATTGCTTCAATAATGTTGCCTATAATTTTTATAATTTCGTACCATATTTTAACCCGGGTTTTAGTAGTTTTAATATCTAAATTACATTTTTCTCACTAATAATTCAGTATACATTTTACAAATCCTGTGCACATGTGCTCTATTCAACCTACGATCAACAAAATTATTGCAGTAAAAAGAGAGAAAAAAAGCATGTGCCCTGTGATTTTTTTTTACTGTGCTCTAATTTTTATGATATTTTGGAAATATGCTAATCTTAATCTTAAGTTCAGAAGTGAAAACAATTTGCACTCCGTCACTACCCACCGCATTAATTGAATTATAATTCCTTTAATTCTGATTTTATCAGAACTTGTATTATACTATTTGAAAGGTAATTAAATGAGCTACAACTTTCTCTATTACAAATTTTACCGTAACTTCTCTTATTTTGAAACGGCGAAGGGTTAAAGGGCTCGAAAGACACTCTGGTTGGATGGCCGCGCACTTTTTAAACAATCATAACATTATCAATATTTGTGTAACAGAATAATAATAAAAAGCAATAATTAGTCAGAAAATAAGCTTGAATTGTCATCTATATACCTTCATACCTATCTTTTATTCTGTCAGAGATATAATAATGAGTTATTGGCTGTTTTTTTTTAAACAGTATTTTTTTTCGTGAAATCATGAGGTTTTTGAAAATCTTTGTACTAAAGTTGTGGTATTTTCTAGAATTCATCAAGATCTCTTGAACCAAGTTAATTCTAGATGGAATACTATTATTTTTAATTTTGGTGGAAATGGCACTCATAAACTATTTGATTTAAATGAAAAAAACATTGCATGCCGTTTTTATTTGCAAGATAGTTCACTCATTTTACACACAGAAATACTCATTTTAAAGCTTATTTTGATTACTATAAAACCCCATTTTCATATCTAGCCTAATATTGTTCCTAGAACACTTTATAAGATACTGATTTATTGAGATTTTGATTGATATAATATTGATTATTATATGATTTTCGTTAAAATGTATATTTTTGAAGATATTAGCAAAAACGATGAAAAACGCAAAAAAGAAACAAATTTTCAGAAGCCAGTAACTTGAAAGTAGCTTCTTTTTTGAAAAACATTATTAAACATTTTTCCTTATAATTAGTTCTTTTATCGATATATATATATATATATATATATATATATATATATATATATTTTATATATAATTATTTTATATTTCAGATACTTTATTACCCATTTTAAGACAGACACAGTGATTGGATCGAAAGGATCTGCCAAGTCTGCATACAGTTGGGGACAAGTAATTTAATTTTTGGTTTAATTTCATCAAATTTTGAAAAATATTTTAACTGATATATCAGTTATATATACTGTGATAAAAATTTAACATTATTCACTTTACTTCTATCACATTCACAAATAAAAATTTACGCCTGTTTTTATATATTTTGCAATTTAAAATATTTAATATTATACTTTTTGCATGCCGACAAAAAATGTTGAATGTCCTCGTAATATAAATAGATCACAATTAAATATATTGTTATATTTAATAACACTTTTAATATTAATTTAGAATTCATATAAATTTTTTAAAAAAAGGTTATATACAAATTATTTATCCCACTGTTAAAAGCTTTCAATAAATGTTAAACCATACACATATCAAGTCTACATAGTACATATTTCGATTTATTTAAAATATAGATTATTTTGAAAAAATTGATGTGTGTATATTCATAACATGTATTTTTCGGAGAGCATTTTTTATATTTAATTAATATATTTTTTTGTCATTTTTTTATTATTTATCTGTGCATCGACGCTCTGATAATAAAGAGAAACCGTGTACTAATTTTATTTTAATACTTAACAAGACAATTATGGATAAAAATATGGATAAATTCATATTTAGCTAGATATTAAAATAGGTTTTATTTATTTTATTTATTAATTAATTTTTATTTTAAGGTGGATTCAATGGGTTTCGCAAATTGTCTGATGAAAGTCTGCGAATTGGTCAAAGATTGTTTTATGGAGGAACCACGAATGTTAGCCTTGGCATCACCTTGTCATATTATGGGTAAAAATTACAATTTATAGTAAATTTATTATAAATAATATGAATAACTATTGAAATAATATGAATGATACTTGTATGTAAATAATTAAATATAAATTGGATATAATTGAAAGTATTAATAAGCAAGCGACGATTTTTGGCAAAAGTTTTATGGAGATGTGCCTCAAGATAATTTTCATTATAATATTATAATAAAATTTGTATTCTGTTAAGAGACAGTGAAAAAATGTTATTAATCAGATAATTTACCTAGATAACAGGTTGAGTTATCTGAAGTTTGAAATAAATAAAATAATAAATTTAAAATTGGAGAAATCAGAATTGATGGTCATCGAAATCCAAAGATTTTTTTTAAAGATACGGCCAAACAGTCTTGGATTTCCAAAAAAATAATACTTCACTAAACATCAATATTTAAATATATTTACTATTTTCGTGATTTATTATATATATTTATTATTTAGTATTTTCTATCATTATTATTAGTAGCAATATTAGTTTATTATTTTTGATATTTATTTCTCAAATTCCCGTAGGGTAGTTATAGTAATAGGCCGAAAATCAAAAATGAAAATTTTTGCATTTCTCGACGTTTTGAAAGTTTCTGAACATTTTGGCATACCTCAGAAAAAATGGATGTGTGTGTGTTTTGTATGTCCGCATTTTTCGTACACGTTTTCGGGCGCACGGATCAACCGATTTGAATGGTTTAAAAAACTTTCGATTCCTATTGATAGGGAGATGTGCTGATTAATTTTTGGTAAAAGCAGGTCCAGCAGTTACGGAGATACGGAGCAAAGAGTGCAGAAAATACAAATCGAGTTTTTGAGAAAACGGAGTATTCGATTTGAATGATCTAAAAAACATCCAATTTGTAATGATTGGGAGAAGAGGTGATTAGTTTTTGGCGAAGACAGGTCCCGCCATTTCGAAGATGCAGAGCTAAATGTGCAAAAATGGCAGTTTTTGAGTGAACTAAGCGTCCGATTTGAATGATCTAAAAAACTTTCTGCTTGTATTGACAAAACAATTGCTTTTGAGGATAAAAAATTATTACATCTTTTTTTCATTATCCATAAAATAATTTTGTAATTTTGGATTGAAAATTCAAAAAATTACCCAGACTAAGCACAGTCTAAGCGCCACTCTGGTACAAATGTTTACCCGAGTGCGTTTAGACTGTTTATAAATAAACTGGAGCACTTTTCCAATTTTGTGAAAACTATTGAAAAATGTGAAAATGCCGCCAAGCTAAGCACAGTATAAGTGAACATGTCGCACAGAATTATTTGCAAATGCGTTTAGACTGTGACTATACGGGAGCACTTTTTTAATTTTGTGTGAATTAGGCAACTATTTTTTTTTAAATTGAATTCGAAATGAAATGACGATTGTTAATGTTCTGGTGATAAATTGATTTATGATTTACATTTGATTTACTCAGATATAACAAGATAGCAAAAATAATGAAAGTTACAGTATTTGTAATAAATATATTTGAAAACGTTTAAAATTTCTCGAATATTTCATTACGGTACGGGAAGTTCGTGCAATTTGCCTTAAAGCACGATGCCATACACCACTAGTTAAATTTCATATTACATTACTGAGCCCGCCATGGTTGAATTAACTTTTATATTTTTTTATTATTTCAGGTGATTTGCATGGAAATTTACCGGATCTTTTAGGCTTCGAACGTGTTTTGTGGAATTTAGGGCCTGCATTAAGTCCGAGTACGCTCCTGTTTTTAGGAGACTATGTTGATAGAGGCCCTCATGGGGTTGAGGTAATTATTAGAAATATAGATAATAAATTAATAAAAAAAATTCATGAATTTTTTGAAAATCTTATTTAATATTTAATATTTAAAAATTTAAATTAGAGCAACAGAATCATTTTTACTCGCGTAATTTGCCTAACAGATCTCTTTTCATATCAAATTATTTTAATCAAAATTTGTTGAGCTACTTATACAATTATAATTTATTTATATTATTATTTATTGTAACTGTTAGTGAATAAAATTTAACTTTTTTTAAAGTAAATAAATTAAAAATGTATGTTTTTTTTATTTCAAGGTGGTTGCTTATCTGTTTGCATATAAATTGCAAAATCCGGCAAAAATCAAATTATTGAGAGGAAACCACGAAGTAAGAGATGTACAGAAAATGTTCACATTTTATACGTAAGTTAACATAAAGTTATAAGTAATAAATAATATACTTAATTTTCAATGAATAAAATTTATTATAATTTTGCGATTTTCTAAAATGCAATGTTTTGAGATTTTACAATAATTCTAAAAATATTAATTTGGCATCAGACTACATAAGATTTTTAAAATTGATTCACAATTAAACAAGACCATATGAAGCCTTATTTTAACTACATATTCTTACCACCAACTTAAGTACGTTATTTTATTAATCTAATTTTAAATGTAATATGGAAAAAATTTAACAAATCTAAATTTATTATTCATAAAACAAATTTTTAAGAAAAAACTGAAGTTATTACTTTTGACTTTTTTATTCTGGTTAGATTCTATTTACAATATAACTTTTTTTAGTCAATTATAGTCAACTTAAAATTATTTTTTTATTAGAATAACTCCTTGAATTATGTATTTTCATGTTAGTATCCTCCAAATATTTCTTCAAAAGCTTTTTAGAATTTAATAGATTTTACAAAGTGCGTCTAAAATAAAACTTTTTTGTGAATTGGTTACATTCTTAGTGAACGAGTTAAAACCGCAAATCTAGAGTATAATAGATCGACGACAAATAAAAAATGTTATAAGACCGACTTTTTGATTTACTGAAATATCTCAAATGGTTCTCAAAATATCGCATTTTTCATTTTCTCGAATTTTATAGATTTTTAAAGTTCTGCGCATGACGAAAAAAACATACTTGTAATTCAGTTACATTCTTAGTGAACGAGTTAAAACCGCAAATCGAGAATATAATAGCTCGATGGCAAATGAAAAATGTTATATAAACTACTTTTTGAATTACTAAAATATCTCAAACGGTTCTCAACATATTGCATTTTTCATTTTCTCGAATTTTATAGATTTTTAAGGTTCTGCGCGTAACGAAAACAAGATACTTGTGAATCAATTACATTCTTAGTGAACGAGTTAAAACCGCAAATCGAGAATATAATAGATCGACGGCAAATAAAAAATGTTATATGAACGACTTTTTGAATTACTAAAATATCTCAAACGGTTCTCAAAATATTGCATTTTTAAATTTCAAGAATTTTATACATGAGTTGGCACAGATAACAATTACATTTTTGTAGTTTTCGTTTTGATGTAAAAAAATCTATACTAAACCTCTTTAAATCACAAATAGTGATTTTTTGCTCTTAAATCACTTACTAAAAATATCAATAAACTAGGGATTCAAAAAATTTATAATTTTTATACTGGAATTATTGAAATATTTATATTTTTTTCAGAGAATGTGTACAAAAGTTTGGCGACACATTGGGAAAAGATTTATGGAATGCTATAAATAACGTTTTTGATGCAATGCCTATAGCAGCTGTTATAGACAGTAAGGTAAAGATAAAAATTTAGATTATTAAGACGATTTATTAACTAAATATTATGAATAAAAATTAAAAGATCAATAAATAAAAATACTTTCTCAAACCTAAATAAAATTAGCTTGATGAAAAAACAATATACTATTTGTTATTAGTTTCTCGAGTCGTTTACGTTTACGTTTAAAAATTCTCAATTTTTAATAAATTCGAATATAGATTTATCTGTTAAATTTTATCCAATCTCTCATTGAATTTTCTAAATTTTATTACTATTTTTTTATTAGATTTTCTGTGTCCACGGAGGAATTCCGCCCCCTTGGTTGTGCCCTGTAATTGCGACCATCAATGATATACCAATCCCCTTGACCAACCCTGATGAACAAAGTCAATTGGCCTGGGAACTTATGTGGAACGACCCTATCAAGTAAGGATGATAAAGGATACACATTTTTTAAACAACAGACACATCACCATTACCATTACCTTTCTAACTTGACAAAAATATTCGATTTTTCACATTTTATTTATTTTTTTCTAAATTTATGATTACAATTTGTCGTTTATAATATTTTTTCAGGACCAGAGGAGCAGACGCTTTTGCCGATACGACTAACAGTGATGGCTTTGCCAATAACACCAGAAGAGGCACCGCCCATGTCTTTAACCAGGCAGCTCTGGACAGATTTTTATCTGTCAACAGTTTGTCTCATGTCGTCCGAGCCCACGAGATGCAAAAGACAGGATTTTATGTAAGGAAAAATAGTAATATATATAATATATAATATATATATATATACATATATATATATATATATATATATATATCTTTCTTCTATATATATATATAAAAATCGGGTTTTCCTTCCTGACGATATAACTCCAGAACGCCCAAACCGATTTCGACAAATTTTGCATTCGTTGGAAAGGTCTCGGGCTCCGCAAGGTTTATAGCTAAGAAAATTAGTTGTGCATGGCATCGTGCCTTAATGCGAGTTGCTGGAACTTCACGCACCGTAATTAAAAATTCGAGTAATGACATTAGTGAGAATTATCAGAATTATGCTTGGTTAAGTCAACGAGCAATTCTTGCCGCAAAGAATAATGATGTACACGCCCTGAATTTCACCATTCAATCAAAAATTGCTGGCGATTTGGTGACATACCAATGATTCCGACTGGTCTTCCGTTTGACTTCAAACGATTGCAATTTCCAGTTCGCCTTGCGTTCGCAATAACAAGTCTCAAGGCCAATCGCTTAGTGTTTGCGGGATAAATTTCAAATAGATTATTTAAAAAATCATTGTTTTTCACATGGGCAGTTATACGTTGCCTTTTCACGAGTTGGAAAACCATCCGCTTTGTTTGTGTTAACGTCATACCAAAAAACAAAAAATATGGTTTACCAAAGAGCACTTCAATAAAACGGATAATTTGCGGATTCACTTTCATTTACTTAGAGAAGTTCAACTAAAAAACACTTCATTTTTGTAATCGAAATAAATTCATTACTGTTGTATAATAAAATCAGATTTTTCCTTTTTAAATATAAAACAAACAAAAAATTTCTTCATCTTTCTCACGGAACCATCTGGTGGCGAAACGGAGTTCGTCGGGTTTTCTAGTATATATATATATGTATATATATATATATATATATATATATATATGTATATATATATATATATATACAAAAAGTTTCATAGAAATTCGATCAGCCGTTTACGACCAGTTTAATTACTTATATCAATGAAAATATTAAAAATAATATTTAGGTATCTATTTTCCTGGCTTTTGATGTCTATGTATCATTTGATATTCACCGAAACTTTGTCGAAGAAACTACAGTTCGGAAGTTAATTTAGAGTCACCGAAATGTTTAAGGGGGTTGTTTTTTTTTACAAAAAATGCAAGGTATAAGCTTTTGTTTTCCCCAAAATGTATTTATCATAGAGACATGCGGTTTTTTTTAAACAAAAATTACAAAATCATAGAATATTACAAAATTTTCTTTTTCTTTTTTTTCGCTGTCATTTTTTAACCAGGGGGCGCCAAAGTCGGCCTTGCAAAATCGATCTCTTTTGCGGTGCCACAGATAAATCCGTTGCGCATCGCCCGAAACAAAAAAAAAAGAAATTACGTTGAAGAAGAAGTTTGAATCCAGTCCCCCTACCAAAATGAAAGGAAAAAAGCAAGAAGGAAAAAAATGGCAGCTATTTAAAAAAAAAGCGTTGCAAAAGGCCTTTTTTGGGGGCGAGAAGCATCGCAAATTTTTTTTGCGTAATGTTATCAAGTTGTTTGAGGTAGGGGGACTAGGTGTTGCAGTGGTGAACAAATTAAAAAAAAATGCAAGTCGATCCGAAATAAACCATGGTGTTCAAAGATGCTGACACATTAAAAAGGTCATGTGCATGAGGTATTATAATGAAAAAGAGAGCAGCTGGCGTACAATAGCTCCGGAGTGATGAAAAAACGCTTTCAGAGGATCATACATATAGAGATATATATATCTATAACTTCGTCAAAAAAATAGATATTGAGATGATTTTTTTTTAAATAATTCTAAGGTTTTTAGCTTTCATAATATCAATATATATCATAAAATCTCTAAATCGAAAACAATAAAATAAAAACCGAACAACCCCCTTAACAAAGTTTTTTTGAGGATATGGCATTGTCATCACTTTCCGTTTAGTTTATCCATTGTTTTTATTTAGTAGTAGTAGTAATAGTTATGGTAATATATCTATTTATTTATTTATATTTATTTTCTATTCCAGATACAATATTCTGGTCACCTGATAACAGTTTTTACATCATCCCATTATTGTGGAGGCGACAATGAGGCAGCTTGTCTTTTTGTCAATAATAACAGGATTAGAGTAATAAGAGTCGACACTGAATAGAAGATCTTTTAGAAAATATAAAAATGAAAAAAAAAACAACGTCTTATACAATTTTTTGCCTATTCCTATTTTTTGAACAGATTTGTTTTTTTGTAATTATTCTGAACTTTGTATAATAAAGAAGTAATTTTGAAAAAGCATTTATATTTGTTTAATTTTATTTTCTAATAATGCAATTATGTCTCGTGTGAATTTTTTCTTATATTATCGTGGCGATTAATGTGTTAAAGGAATATGCTTTTTGTCGTGAAAAATAATATGAATAAATCAAGAAACATTTGCAAACAAGACAGCAATTGATCATGTCATCAAGCAGAAAACATTAGGGTTGTATGTATATATTTTAATTCCGAAAAAGGAATGTTTTGGAATTTTAGTATCTGCATTTTCTCTTAAATATATTTTTGATGCTATTCACTATTATTTCTATAAACTAAATCATCATTTACGTCAACATTAGTTGTTATAATAACCCTTCTGTACCAATAACTTATTCTTTTAAGGAATTGCTGGACCAATCAAATCAACTCGTTTCAAATGACCACATCGATAGCCAATGACGAATCAGTATTTGTGTCGTAACGCATTTCCGTTGCATTTCTGATGAGTATTACTTAAAAAATAAATGATGTTAACAGTTACCATTCGGCGAATTTTTAACGCCTTCAGATGATTTAATAGAAATGAGACAACTTTCAGCAAAAAGTCTTCTTTGTGTGATAAATAATATATTATGACTAAATTAATGGGAATTTTTAATAAAAAAGTTAATATACTGAATTAAAAAATTTTTTTTGGAGTTTGTTTAACCATTTTGGATTTATAAATGTTTAATACAATACAAATTTTTAAACAAGATTATGAGATGTCATTGTAATTATTTATTGTCGTCTTTTAAATAACTGCTTTTTAAAACGTAGAATAGTCTAATTAAAAAATGTATATTGAATTTATATGTGTTAAAGTGTTCAGAAAATTTAGTTTCAAATTGTATCGTAATTTTGGAATTGTTTTTTGTTGCTGGAGGCATTTTATCAAAACTTTCGTTACTTTACCCATATAAACTAAATTACAATCAGAGCAATTCATTTGGTAAACTATATTTGTTTTGTTTGTATGGAAATAGCATGAAAAAAATTTTGAAAATTAAAAAAAAATTAGGTATAACTTAGCGATAAATAAATTAAAAGTGAAAATATTTTTTTGACCCTACCTATAATATTGCCATAGTCGCTGTCTCGCAGGCTGACGCAGTAAACAAAAGTGTGCAGTTGCGTCATTTTGGTCAGGCAATGTAAAATTGCACTATCATAAAATTATAATCATAAAATTTCAGTTTACGTTATTATTATCGACTAGCTTTAAATTTTATATCTTGGTTTGTTTTAAATTTATCAATCTTTGATGATGTGTAAAAATGTTTGTGATTGCTAAAATATCAAATATAAATCCTATGAAAGATTAGGATGGATATAATCTTATATTACCTCTTAAAGTTCATGAAAATTAGGAAGCTTTCTGCAAAAGTCTCTTAATTTTACGGAGTTTTATTTTATTTTAATATTTAAATAATGGTTAATATCATCTCAAGATCTAGTCAGGCTTCAGTATTTTAATTATAGAAAGCTCATAAATTTAATTTAGAAGTAATTTAAATCAAATAGTGTAAAAAATACAGAAGAAACTAACAAAAAAAAAGTTTTTATGTATTTGGCAAATGTTAAATTATTGAGAATTTAAAAATGATTAATGTAGAAAAATGTAAACTAATCATTATGAAAAAAATTATAAAAATAAGACATCTCTCAGTGAAAGTTCTCCTAAAAGTGCAACTTTCTCGGTATAAAATATTCGCATTATAATTAAAATAATGCAAAATTTTTAACAAAATGTTAGACAATAGTATTTTTCAAGTTATAATTATAATTATTAAAAGTTAATAAAAATCGAAGTATTTAAAAAAAAAATTTGGGGGTTTTGTATTTCTGTTGCGTAGATAGTTGAATAAAACAACCTTCGGCGAAACGTCTTTTGAATAACTGTTTTTCAATAAGCAAATTAAAAAATGTGTATTGTATTTGAATGTGTTCAGAATGCTTAGTTTTCAAATTATTTCGGATTTAGAAAGTGTTTTACCAAAATTATGGTTACTTTTCCAATATAAACTAAATCACAATCTGAGCAATTAATTTTGTAAACTAGATTCTTAAGAGTTAGTGGTTAATAATCTTATTAGTGACTGATTGTTCGTATATCTGAATATCATAATATTAGTCAAATCAAATAGAAAAATCATACAAAACTGCAGTGGTTGTGTTAATTTGTGTTTATATTACCAAAAGATATGCAATAATGCTGTGATTTTAATATTTCTCTCTTATTTGTATTGATTTTTTTTATTATCATAAATTTCTGAATTGTTATTATTGAATTATTATTTCTGAAGTACATTTTTGTGAAAACATTGAGAAAGATAATTATTTTAATCTAAACTCAAATGTTATTTTCATATGTAATAGCAACTACTTTATTTCTTCATATAAAATTTATAATTATATAGAACAAACATCAAAGCTACTTTTATAATTTTTCAAAATCGACTAACTTTTCATGGTTCAACAAATGACATTGAAGCGTTTTAAGAAAACTTCAAAGAATTTCGTTGTTTTATTTATATTTACTTAACAATATATTTCCATAATTTATTCTCCCCACTAGTGGAAATTTTCGATGTTGCGAGACGATTAAGACACACACACACACACACACACACACACATATATATATATATATATATATATATATTAGGGTGGTCCTTAATATGGACATTTTCGAATTTCCTTGCTCCCAAGGTCTCAAATGGTTCCAAATTGATGAATTCTCTGAAAGTTTTAGCTCTTAATATTAACTTTTAGATAGTGCGCAATTCAATCAAACTTCGTATGGAAATAGCATAGAAAAAAATTTGAAAAATAAAAAAAAATTTTTTAGGTATAACTTAGCGACAAATGAATTAAAAGTGAAAATTCATGTCATTTTTTATTGAAAATTTGACGCTCTGCAAAATTTTTGGAAATATTTTATTGCATTCTATCTAAAAGACAAGATTGAGAGTTAAAACTTTCAGAGAATTGTTTTTCATCAATTTGGAACCAATTCAGCCCTTGGGAGTAAAGAAATTCGAAAATGACCATATTAAGGACCACCCTAATGTAAGTATGTATGTATGTATGTCTTTTTATGTGGGTTTATAAATATTATTATCGTTTTCCCAAGGAATCGGATTTTGTTCAAACGTCCTCCCTTAAGAATAGGTCAGCGATCTTAGTAATGACATCTTGAACAGAAAACATGGTTAATCAATTACCCACGGTCAACCTATTCCATTATCCACAACTCTCTATTCGATACACAACTATTACTATTAATAACCCTTCGGAATAATATAGAGAAATAAAAAGAAAAAGCATTGTATACATTATTCTTGAAAAATAAAATACACTAAATGATAAAACATATTTTGTATGTACGTTTCGAGACCATTATGCGTGTCATCACTCAGCAGGCACAAAATAATTACACATGAATGAAATATCTGAGAAACAATATTTAAATTTTTCAAAGATATATTACAGATGTATTATTAATTTTGCAGCATTTTTTCTCAATTTTATAATTCATTTTTCCATTGTGTTTACATACAAAATAATTGCAACAAACAATGAAGACGCCTCCAAACAAAATATAAGAGTCAAATAAAATTTATTCAAGAATAAATAATAACGTTTCACAAAATTAAATACATATGGAACGAAAAGATGTATTTATTTATTTTTTCAATTATTTTCTGCATTATTTTTCCATTTGCCGGAATTAATGTTGGTTTTGCTTATAAATTGCTACGTGACGGGATCAACTTGAAAAAAGTAAGAAATATTGATGATGGATATATACTAACTTGTCTATTTATAAGTCAGTTTTTTGTATTTATTCAAGATTTGATTTTGTTTTAAATTTCGATATCTAGGTGCAATAAATAGTTTATACCAGATGTTAGTAAATTTAATCCGAAAGAAAATTAAAAGTTATTTGAAGAAATGTAAAAATATGTACCAAATTCATATGTGGCAAATTATAAAAATACTGAAGTCTGCATTTCAACTACGAATTATTCAAAATTTCAATATCCAAGTATTAGGTTGTCAAATATCTCCCTTCCGCCTTTTTATATTATAAACCAAGAGCAAAAAAGCGGTAGGGAGATATTTGACAACCTATTATATAAACCGGTTTTTAGTAGATTTTAGTAAATTTTATCTAGTTTTTACTAAAGCAAAATAAATCATTATGTTCCGGAAAAAAAATAAAAGTTATTTGAAGAAATGTAAAAAAAATGTACCAAATTCATATGTAGCAAATTATAAAAATACTGAAGTCTGTACTTCAACTACAAATTATTCAAAATTTCAATATCCAAGTGTATAAAACGGATTTCAGTAGTTTTTAGTAAATTTTATCTAGCTTTTACCAAATTCATATGTGGCAAATTATAATTTGATTTTTGTATATTATGTACATTTATTTAGCGATCGAATTAATTAATTTACATGTGTTTCTAAGTAATTGTTCTAATTGCAATTTCTAAAGGTCGGTGCATCAGACTAAGAAATAAATCAATGCAATTTTGATTCGATTAAATCTGTTTTGCAGATCCAGACTGTCTCACCGCAAATTTAATAATAACAGAATTCCATATATATATATATATACACTTGAATTAACAATTCTCATTTGCAAATTGATTTGGAGAACTAGAAGGGAATTATTAAATTAGATAAGACAGTAAGTAAGTAAAATTTATTATGTTAAAGTTGCAAATTTCAATGAAAATTGTATGTTATCCTGATTAATCCGCTAATTCAAAATTTAATACAGTATGAATTATTCAAAAAAATTTAAATTGATATGTAAAAATAATGGCTATAAATAAAATTCCGAAG